GAAATCGTCACGGTCGTGCCGGGTGTCTGGTGACGTCAGATCACGTGATGATGCCAGTAAGAACTCCCTTCAGCCGGTTCCGAGCTACATACCACCTGCACCCTTTTACATAGGGCATCTTCGGGTGCCACGGGCGTTGCACTGGCCCGTTGCGGGGCCTCCAGCCGGGCTCGGACGGCCAGCTAATCGACAGTCGACTCACCTGGCTCGGCCACGCGGTGTCAGCCGGGACCAGGCGCCGGCCGGGCCGGGCCGCCGAGCCACCAAGCCGCGCACTGGTGGCCGCGGATGCTCCGACTCCAGCTAACGGTCCGTGACGCGACACCGCCCTCCCCAGCCCGGCCTGTGGCGGCGGCTGCGCAACGCACCACGCCGGCCGCCCGGCCGGCTGAGGTCAAGGCCCAAAACTGGTCGGGCGGGTGGGGCCGCGGCGGTCAGAATGGCCGGTGTTGACGTCAATGTCGCCGCAGACATGTGTGGGGTCTTTATTAATGGGGATTGATGAGCACCTGTTCTTAAAGCTGAAGATGTGTGTTTTCTTGAGAGAAGATAAAAAGATCCCGGACTCAAAGCCGTCTGTCGATGCACTTGACCATTAAAAAATTTCGCTGCATTTCGTTTTGATTTTTTTTTGTTGTTGAAATTATGAATGATAAAGCTGGCTCGCCGCTATTCGCATACACGTTCGATAAAATTACGGCTTGTGTTTGATGGATGCCTACACTTCATGATCTTATAAAGTGCAACTCAGCTTCAGATAATGCTTTTTTCGCTCACATGAGTGTGTAGGGCATGTGACGTATAGCGCTGGCCGCCGTGTAGGTAGGTTTAGCACACATCTTTCAGTTAAATTCATTTAATCAGTATCTGAACGCAAAACTGTACACTATTTACCTAGTATGTTTTTCATATCCCCTTAATAAGACAAATCATAATTACATATCGAAGCCTGATAATGTGTGATTGCTTCCGAATACCATAAATCATGCACTAAATCGGATACATGTGACGTTTGAACGATAACGTATGCTAAAAATACCTCTGGCTAATTATCCATAAACAGGACAAAATCTATCCAATTCCAACCCCAGTGCATGCTTGTTTGTGTGCTATAGGTAATGACAGTGACCAACCATAGATAAAATGAATCCAGTGGCTTACCCCGTTATGGCGATGTTGACACGGTGGTAAAGCATTTTGCTTGCCTTGCCGATTGCCTGCAGGTAATGCGTCTCCTCTTCAGACTTTTGCTATAGAAAGTAAGTGCATGTTCGCTTGTTGTCGATGGATTGCCAGTCATGGTTTTGTTATTTGTAGGACAAGGTTTTATGGGTGCTTGTAAGGATGTTTCGCTTTAGATCATTTCTGGACATATAACGGAGGAGAATGCGGTGCCCCTGCAAAACATCAAGATAGGTACAGCGTAGTAACTTTTATTTTTTTTTCGTAGATTCTGCTGATTTTCATAGGCTGGAAGTAAAACCCAGCGTATTGACAGCTAGCGGGGAATTGATAATGTCGAAACTGAAAATGCCAATGACCGAGCGAAAGCAAGCATACATACTTTAGTGCGGAATACGAAGTAAAACCGTCGAACGTTTTAGGGCTTTTCTATTTGTCCCATTAATAGGTAAAAGTGAGCACTGCGCACGCCGGCCTCACTCTCACTGGGAAGTCTGTGGTTCCTTTTTGACGTTTTTATGACGTGAGTGTGACCATTAACAAACATCGAGAGAAACCCGGCACCGCGTTCCTAGCTTTCAGTGTTTTTTTTTCTGACAAACCTTGGACCCGCCTATTTTACACGGTGACCCGAGTGCCTTTCACCTAACGGTGAGCCGGCCAATTCATGGACCGCAGGGCGCCGACGCCCACGATCGGTGAACAATGCCGGATATCTGCAGCTGAACCTTTGGCCGCTGACGCTGACCGCCCGCCCCGCCCGCCGGCACCGACGCTCCATAAATAAACGGGCCACACATCGGCACCTTCGCTCCCCCCCCCCCCCCCTCCGCCGGCCGACGTTCCGGCTGGCTTCAATGCATCCCCCATGAACTGCCAGTCAGCTTTCGGCAAACGCCAGGGCTGGTGCAGCCGTATGTTACAGAAGGCGGCGGGGTTCTCAATGAAGTGATAGTCTCTGTGATGGGGACCGACTGGTATGTCTCTTTCGGCACTCGCGCCTTGCCATGGTCGCATGACAGATTAGTGTGCAGTGTGCATCAGTCTGCGTCAGTCGGCGGCCCTGCATTGGGGTATGTTTTCCTCGGAGCTGGCAGCGCCGGGTTGGTAGAATTGTGTATAGAAGACTCATAGCAAGCAGCCTCCAGCGACCTTGGGTTTGACCTATCGAGTCCCAAAGCCATCAGCATCGATTCAACGGCCAAATGAGCCTCGAAAGGAGCTAATCTTAAGCGGTGACATCGATCCGGGCTCGTCCAGGTGGAAATCCTGCGGCTCTGTTATTCAGTGATGAGACCGGCGGTAGCGATTACCTGTGGGAACATTCAGAGGAGTGCCCGATGAACAGAACCGACCGCTGTGCTCGTGTGACGTCACGATTCCGGTGCTGTGACGCTGGTGTCACATTGGGATTGTCGGGGCGTGTCGGCGCCGGGGTCGCGGCTCAGAGTCGAAACCGCACTGCGCTGTGCGGGCTGCAGTGTTACACCCATTATGTAAGAGGGATGGGCCCCAGGGACCGACAGGAAGAGGTCAGATATGCCGCCACTATATAGAGAAAAACCCTGCTCACAGACGAAACCCTTGTGTGCTTCATGAGCAGGCATGCAGCAAAATATTGACGATGGCAGTTACAAAGCTACGACAATTAGCATGCCCAATTATGTGTGTGTATCTCGTACATGCATGCCTGTGCGCAGTGTGGACTGGTAATTAAATTTAGATTACTGGCCTACGCCGTGCACAGGTGTAATGGGGAGAATGACCCCTGCGACATTGCCTAACTTCGTAGGACATCCATTCCTAATGCCGGTAGTGTCCAAGTAATGGTAGCCTCTCCATCTTCCCTATGTTGAATGTGTCAACGACGAGCCCGAACACGTCTTTGAATATATGTGTTTGAAGGCATACCTGAAAGACAGACGTATGCAGAATGGACACGGTCGGTTAAGGTTCAAGCCGAAGTTCATGTCAATAAATGAGTGACACTTTGACATCACAACTTGTCAAACACTTCTATTGTTAAAACAATCTATTCGATTTCAGCGTGGCTGCCCTCCTATAGCGGGGCAATCGATCAGCTACTCAGATTCGTGGGTGGAACTGGACAGATGTTGCCTAACGTTTCCTTTTCCAACATGCTAATGACCAGTTTCTGAGGAAGGACCTGTTTCTACCCCACAACGAAGTAAATTGTTACAGACATACGTCTTAGCTAAAACGATAACGCATTGTATCTTCTTCTCGTTTGCATTGTTCTCATCCGACAATGTCTAATAAACGGTGGCTGTTTTAAGATTTCAACGTGACTGGAGCCGCCGGGACAGGATTTAGCCATTTGAAGATCCGCCACAGTAGTTAGTGGTTGTTAGTGTCTAGTGACGTCCTTTTTGTTTCTGACGTCGGGTAGAACGCCGATAAGAGTGCCGTGCTTTGACAGCACCCGGACAGAATCATCGTTTTCCCATCTCTAGCTCCATATCTGCCTCAGATGGCCATTTCGCCCAGCGGCTCATTCTCTGTGGAATTGATAGCTAGTCGGCTCATCTCTGTCCACACCACCCTGCTGACCCGACCCGGGACAGAAGCTCATTAGCTGTGGGTCCACGGGTGGCTGCGGTCAGGGGTGCCGTCCCATCCGCCGGCCTGTCGACCGGTTCCACGTGAGCCGTGGACCTGTGCTGCCGGCGGCGGTCAAACGTTGCACAACGGCCCAGGCGTGCGACCCGCGCCGAGCTCGAGGGTACACCGGCACTGAAGTCTCCCGGAGGGCCTCTGAGGACGGCTAGGAGACTGAGAACTCCGCAGACTCCGAGAACTCGGAGTTCAAGAGAGGCGTTGATAATTTTAAAAAAGTTTACTTATAAAAAGATCAACAAATGAACTGAGTATTCAGTTTCCAGACCTACTGATGTTTCGGTATAACGGTATGAACCATGTGGTACGAAGTACGAAATAACAGTAAAAATGAAGGATTGCATCTTCGCCTTCCGATGAAGGGGATTAAAGATAATAAATACCAGTCCATAGCTTGTGGAATCTTTGGCAATGACGTAAGTGCCGATGACTGGGCCTGGTTGAGCGGCGCCTCGGTGGCTGCGGATGACCGTCCTCTCTTCATCATCAGGAGGAGCGGTCATCGAAAGTCCTGTTCAGCCGCAGCGACAGTGGAGATTCCTCGCCAGTGATGTGGCCATCTTAGCGTCAGGGTTTTTTTTTATCTCCTGTCGTTTGTGTGTGATGTCATCCTGGTCCGTTCGATCGAGGTGTCCCGTTACGATCGGATGGTGATTTACTGTAATATCACCGGGTGCTGGACAATTAAAAGTAACTGGATATTTGATGTACCTTCTGTGAAACAAAGTCGACACAGTGCTGTTGTCCTACCAAACAGGAACTAACGCAGAAAAGAGCGTTCGGATCATATTGAGTGTAATCCCTATAAGACATGCGTGCAGCGAAGGATATTTGCTTTTCAACGTGCATCAAAAGCAACAGTAAGCTGTGTTTCCTGCTGACGGATTTGCAGCATTGCTCACTCACGATATCTTTCGGCGCAGTGCAATAACACGTCTGGCATGTGTTTACACAAGTCCAAACCGTCAGGATTAGTGGTAGAATGTGTGCAAGAAGCTTTTTTTCTATTTTGCGCACATTAGTCGTAATCTTTTACTAATTCCTCCGTGTATCTACACGCTTAGCGGCATTCTAATAGTTTTCGCCCGTTTGCAGGCTGTTCTATCAAGCAAACATCCCGCAGACGCGCGTGCTGTTTTCGACTTGTCGACCCTAACACCCGTCGTGTCTGTCTCCCGCAGGACAACTACTGCATGGGCGGCCCGGGCATCGTGATGAGCCGCGCCACGCTAGCGCTCATCTACCCTCACATCCGGCAATGTCTGGCCAACCTGTACACCACCCACGAGGACGTCGAGATCGGCCGCTGCGTGAAAAAATACGCCGGCGTCAGCTGCCTCTGGAACTATGAGGTGAGTCCGCTGAGCGGAACGATTTGGGCACACACACGTACGGACACACAGGAGCTGTGGGGGACACACACATGGAGCGTTGTGCGGTCATCACTGTTATGGTTGGCTTTGGCAGTGCGAGCTCAGTTTCGAGCATACACTTTGCCGCAAGGATGCGGCTGTATGCAATGAAGCGAGTCGACAATCGAGCCGCTTGTTAACAACGAAGAGCATGCTCGACCATGGCAACAGCCTCGCTTCAGGCTGCAATACCGACCGACCACGGTCTCCATCCGGTGCGTGATATCATCACGTTCTTTCATACCCAAACCCGCTTGGTTTGACATCGACTCTGGTGTAATCACGTGAAGAAGAACGTCCTCTGCTGTTCTTTTTGCGCCATGAAGTGCATGGCTTTTCTGGCGATCTCGCTTTAGGGCGTTTCAGCGAAGCATGTTTAGTTGTCCGCCCCCGGAGAAATTCCGTCGTAGATTATCTCCTACTTGTCAATGGACAAGGCCGTCGGAGGTCGACTTTTATGGCGTAAATATGTCCAATTTCGTTTCTTTCACAATGAAGTTTATGACACCTGCCTACCAATTACAAGAGGACAGGTTCCAGCAGTTATGGGTCTGTCTCTAATTATTTTCGGTGCCTAGCCATACGCCCACTACCGTGGTCATGCCTACTTGTTATATTTCGATGAACATTAAAGCGGGATTTATTTAAGACATTATGCATAATGCTACTGCAAATACGACGCGTAAGACTCTCGTCGCATTGACATTGCTAAGGAGCGAGTAAGTACCCATTTCACAGACTTTAATTAATATATGTTCATAGGATGTCTGCTAACCTTTTTATTCATTATGGTATTGTTTGTTGGATAAACAATCACCACTCCACTGCGCAGCCTTGTCCGGAACTTTCCTGTCAATTTTTTTTTCTGTTCTCAGTCGTTTGCGGTACCTAACCTACACATAAACAAAATGATAAACCATACCTTTATTTATCAATGTCTGCATTGTGCAGCGATAATATTCCTCCATATCCTGTCAATTTTCGTGATTTTTGCGATGTAGGTGCAACTCGCTGTATGCAACGGGCGGACATTTGACCTCTTGTCGACACCGCTTTGGACCTATCCTCACCACCATCCGCGCCTGGCCCTCGCCGAAGTCCTCGTCATCACGGCGGGGTCGGCCGACGTCAGCTCCCAGGCCCTATATACCGTCAGCTCGCTCGCTGTATCCAACCACTGGGCTCAACTGATCCGGCCACGATCATGAGTCAGCGTGAACTCGACAGGCCATTGTCTGTCGGCCGAGCAGCCGCCGCCGAAACCCATTGTTACCCCGCTGAAAGAAAGATGGACCCCTTTAGTTGTTGGAGCATGCTCGTTCGTGCTCTTCCTGCATGTGAGGAGGTAAGATGGGACGACGTTCCATGTTCGTTTTGCATCATGCGAGAGAACGAAGTGAAGCTGCTTGGCGACTGAACAGATTGACTTCCTGTCGGAAACCTGTCAGTATTTTTAGCAAGGGTAATGTTTCGGGAGCCTGATTGAATCATTCGCCTTTACGACGTTGCTCGTGCTGGCTCATTAAATTACCTTTCATCCGGCTCGTGAAGCGCTGATATGCCTTTGGCACGACGCCTGCAGTGGGCGTTTCTGGCCGCTATCTTTACCCCGCGGGCCTATTTACCTCCTTATCGGTGCAAGATCCGCTCTCATATCGCCGGCACCGTTTGAATGGGCCGGCCTCGGGCCCGGATACCGAGGAACCAGGAATGCCTGGCGTCATCAGTTACGGCGAACGGAGCAGGCGTGTCTGGCGAGTCCTGTGAGCGGCGACTGCGGCGGCCCACGGCGCCGGCCTCGCCAGTGACGCGGCGCTCTTCCTCGCATGTTGCGTCACCTGCACCTGGACGTCTGCAGTTCATCTGGAAAGGCCGCCGGGCGCCCGACGCAGCGACACTCTGTGTGCCGTGTACACTGACCAGTGGCCACCGTTCAACGTCCATCCCGCTCCCCGGTGGTCTCACCAAACAGCTTGGCGGGCCGGAGAGCGCGGTGGCCTTGTCAGGCAGACGGGACACACAGAGCGACCGCCGCCACTGACCGCTCGGCTGGACCGGCTCGCTGGTGGAATGTGTGGGCCGGCTTCACACATGGCGCTTCGCGCGGCTCACAGAACGGCGGCCGACGACCTTGGGGCCGCGCTCTCCGCCCTCTCCTTCCCTCCCCCTCTCTCTTTCTCTCTCTCTCTCTTTCTCTCTTTCCGCTCGCCGCGTCGCCCTCGCCGCGCAAGGTGTTGGCGACGGCGACGGTGCACGTTCGCCTCGCTCCGCTGTGGGGTCGAGCGGTCGAAACCTCCGGAAGTGCGTTACCGCAACTCTCGCCTCTCGGGGACAGCAGTTCGGTGGCACTTCCGCGATTGCGTGAGCCCACTGCCGGCTGTCCGAGCGGTGGGTCAGGACGGACGGCGCGACGTTTAGGAGCGATTGATCGTGGGTACCCAGTGTGCGACTGTGGCTCTCACGAGCGCCCTGTCGCAGCTGCCACGGACAGCGCGGCGAGTGGCGCCGGCAGGCGTCCTCCACACGGCCTTGGCGTGCGCTAATGACACGGAGCGCCGTTGGCTGCGTCCAGCGGGGCCAAACGGCGGTCAGCCGTGCGGCCGGCCTGCTCCAGAACTCTGCGAAGCTGCCTGCGGTACTACTGGCAGCAGCTGAAGGCCTGCGGTGACCGGTTGCGGCGGCGCCAGTGGCCGGTGGGTGTCCCGGAGGCGGTCTACAGGCGGTCCGTGGAAACATCAGGCAGTTGGAATAGAAGGAGAGGACAGGAGGGTCGCAGCAGTGCAGCCGAGCGTGGCAGAGGCCAGCCGGGCCCCTCTTCCGCCGACAGGAGACACGGATGCCTGCCGGCGCCTCACGCATCACTTGACGCACTAATGCCCTCCTATATCTGACGGTCAGATCCATTACGAAATCGGCGCCACCGCGAGGCTACTGGAAGAGCCATGCCACTTGCTGCACACTTTGCTCGATCGGCGTAGACTGGCTGCAGCCTCGCCGGCAGCAGCCGCTCCTCACGAACCTTGATGATAGCCCGCTGATGGCCACGATTGTCGGACAGACTCATCTGATGTTGCGCCAAGGGCCAAACCCTTTGATGCATGACATCGGAGACATCTTTCGCCTTGGCCCGATATGGTGTATCTGACGAAAAGGTAAAAGGTCCGCCCATGCTCTGCAGAATCCTTTCGCACCAACGCATTGTCCTTAGCCACTTTGACGAGCAGCCGCCAGCCAGCCCCTCTGTAAATGATTTGATGCCTACTTCATTTTAGTTTATGTGTGAATGGAGACTTATGAAGCCTGCCTGGTAGGTCTAAAAGTAACTATTCTTTTTGCATAATGGTTGCATGATAATGCTAAAACGTGTCCCTACTAAACTAATGCTTCCGGCGTGCAATTAACAAACAACTTCTATTGTAAACCTTGAACAGTCGCAGGCAGAAATGCCGCACAATGCCTCATGAAAGCCTCGTCCTTGCTGGCTAGTGCAATTTTATCCCCCGAATAAAACATCCACAGACATGAAGCAGTTTTCTCTTGATGCACAAAGTCGCGAAGCCCTCGCTTCCAAGAATGATTGCTGACCTTTTGTCATCCAACCACTTAAGTATTCAAGTTGCAACTTTCGTTTTCTGCCGTGACCCACTTGGATTGAAGAGCTCATGGACAATTTGAGGCTGACGACAGTTGCAACCTTCACCTCCATTTCCACCACTACTTCCACCGCCGCTGTCCCTTCGTCCGCCGCCAGACCGAACATCCTCTCATTCACGCGTCAGTCCGCCTTGCGCAAGGCGGTGGGTGTCGCGTCCGGGCTGGGCCTGGCGGCGGCCGGGGCCCGAGGCAGGGTGGCCGCCGCCGACCCTGTTTGGGCAGGAGGGTCCGAGTTCAAACACCTCAGCCAGCGCCGGCGCCGGGAAAAACACATTTGGACGGCGCGGCGCGGCGCCGGCGCGCGCCGCGTTACGACCTGGCGCGCCAAATAGCCGCCGGCCGTCGCGGGAAGGTCCGTGGCTGATCCGGCCGTCGCCTCCTGACCGCGCCGATAGAAGGAAGATCGCCGATCGGGCTGTCCCTGAGAGCCTCCATCGCCGGCCTGCGAAGAGCCGCAAACCCTCAGGCGGTGTCTTTTAATAGGAGCTAATCCCCCGTGCCTTTGAGTCTCCATGACTTCCTGGCCACCCGCTTCTGGCTTGGTCATGTAGCTGGCCTGATCCGAAGACCATCTGCTTTAGAGGCGCTGACCAAGCTGAATGGACCTAACGGATTCTTGTGATTGATTATCATTGCCGTCTCGGTGGAAGCTCGATCCAATATCTCGGATGTGATTTGTTATTGATGGCCATGATTTGTTTTAGAGCGAATCACAGTATGTCAAGCCGAAGTATATCAATGTGGAGCTCTACAAACGGATACGGTATCAACGCTAACTGGTGCAACAGCGACATCCTTGTTGCTGCAAGAAGTGTACGACGTACCACGAACGGTGTCCCACCTGAGGCCGACATTTCGCTAATTTAATTCGTTGCTCTAATGTGCGCTGATGGTCATTAATAGTATCCTGAAGGCCGTTTCGGACGGGATAATTTGAACGGGGAGCGAAGCACGGCTCCCGGCGGTAGGGATGGGAGCGTGGCGTCCTCAGCGTCCGGTAAGTACGATCGGCTCCTGTCCCGTTGTTCATGGTACGATGATCTCCGCTCGCTCAATGCACGGAGCGTACCGCCTACGGGCCGATCGTCCCTTTTTCGGCTTGTCTGCAGTGATGTCTCGTAAATAAACGTCCGCCAGCAGCGCGGCCGGCTATGATCTACACCGTGCACAGTGGCCGGTTTATTCCGAGTCCTGCAGCCAGCTCCGCGGGCGGTCGCGGCCTAAATTCCGCGGATCGGTCGTCTGGCTCCCGATATCGGGTTGTTTCCCACATGGTTGCAATATTA